GAATGGATCCTCCAGCAACATAAATAGAGCTGTGCTGGTTTATACCAGCTGATGAGCCTGTCTAGATACAACTGCTGATACAACTTGTGTGCCTGCAGATGGAGAAGAATCCGAGCACATCCTCCAGCCTTTGATTGGACTCTCTAAAGCTTCTTGATACTTTTCCTAGGAATATTTTCTCCTATATCAGCAAAGTCACAAAATGATACTACCTCAGCACGACAAAATAATGATGATGCTGACAGCAGGTTGTGTCCTGAACAGGAGAAGGCTCACAACTGAGTAACGCTGTTTTTAACAAACACGTGCTGAAAGCCATAAATAATTGGTGACAGCTGTGGGTGGACAGCTGTACTATTAACTTTTCCTGAAGGGATTTGTGATAAATGCTTTCGGATGGGCTGAAGACACAGTGTTTGGAGCCAGATCTGGATGAGGTCCCACATTCACCAAGTTCAGATTCCAGGCTGTGAACACACCCTGCTTTGAGATTCAAACCCCAAACCTGCGTCCAGGGCTTTTGATTTGACCCGCTGCACATGGAGGGGCTTGACCATGACGTCTGACTCACAACCTGAGCGTTCTCAAGCCCGAGGGATGCTGAGCTCCATGGCTTGGATTTGCCTCAACAGATACAGAGCAGCTCGGCTGCAGAGATGAACTTCACCTGGAGAGATTGATCCAAACCTCCCCGAACTCCAGGACAATCCCGAGCAGGAAGCGCACCTACCCCTGGCATGTACTCCACAAAGATGGACAGCTTCCTCTCCTCGGGGTCCCGCAAGCACCCGTAGTACTGCACTATCCTGTCGTGCCGCAGAGTCTTCAGCAGCTGGATCTCACATTCCAAGGCATTGACCTCCTGCAGCGGAACAGGCACGCTCCATGGGCAAACAGGCACCCCAGCAGAGCAGGAAGGCTGCCCGGCTCCGGGACACGGCCCTCCCGCAGCCCTCCGTGCGCTGCAGGAGGGGTCCTGCCCTCAGACCCACCTTACTCGTCTCCTGACTGTCGGGGTCGAAAGGCACCTGCTTCACTGAGAGCTCCCGGCCGGTGTCAGCGTCGTAGCACAGATAAACTTCCCCAAAAGCTCCTCTTCCAAGCAGCTTCCCCAGCCTCCAGTTCACGGGTGCCTGCAGGGCTACAAGGGAGTTGAGCAATGAGAGCAGCACAGGGACACCTAAATGTACCGAGCGCAGGTCACTTGCAGTAACAGCTCCTTTCTTTAGAGCCTCTTGTCCAGAACCTGCTTTGCTGAGTAAAGTTGAACCTTTTTCTCCCTATCTATAAGGGTGGTGCGCTCGATAACAGCCCAGCTGAGCTGCAGGCCAGGCGGGGAACGGCAGTTCTGTCTCATTAGGCTGCAACCATCACTAAGAACATACCAATTCCCACAGCATGGGCAGCCTTGCAGGGTCAGACTGGCCTGCAGCACCACCTCTGGGACCACGAACAGGGAGCTGATCTGTCCCACATCCCAGGTCTCCTGGAAGCTTCCTCCGTGCAAGCACATGGAGAGTTCAGTGCACAACTGACTGGTGAAGCTCAACACACAAGCGCCAGCTGAGCCCATACGTCCTCTTAATGCAAAGCCAAGGTAAAGCAGCAGGGTATATTAAGCCTTTCTCACTGAAATGCAGGTGAGTGCAGTCTGCCCTTGCTGGGGACAGACCCGGAGCGCGTTCTCAGCCGCAGCAGCCTCAGTGCCTTGAGGTAACTCGATTTTGTGTTGAGGGAAAGGAGAGCCCGCTCCGATGCACTTACAGTTCCTCGCTTTAGGAGGGGAGGTGCTGAACACCTGCAGGCCTTTCTCACACGTGCTCCACCACTTGGGCCGGTACTCGCTGTGCTGCTGGGCGCTCAGCTTGCCGTCCCCGTTGAAGCTCTTGGTGCGGCTAGAAGGGACGAGCTGGAAGAGGTTCTCCTGCGGGAAATAGCTCCTGGGGAAGGTCCTGCGGCCTGGGGGATAAGAAGGGACAGTCAGAGCAGGACGACACGTGGCAGCTCCCGTCGCCTGTCGCCAGCTTCCACACGGCTGCCCAGCTGCAGCGATGCACCTCTGCAGACGAGGCACAACGAGCTTCGTGGAACTGCAACAAAACCCTGTGAACGGTTTAAATTCAATTTAAAAGCCGTTAACAGCAGGCAGGATTACATTTAATGCAAAATGTTTCCAGAGGGGTTTGCAGCAGTTTAATTAAATTAGGGTTTTGTTTGTTTTTAATCACAGTGAAGCTCTGAACAGACAGGGATTTACACTGCAAGCTCTCCCTGGCATTCCCTAAGACCACAACACGGACGACTACACAAGCAGTGCCAGATTGCACGGGAGCTACTTGCACAAGGAGGTGTCAGCAGGAGATGCCGTTTGCTCTGGGAGGCATCCATGCCGTTTCCGTGCCCTCAGTATCCTTTTCCCAAGGGAATTTGATCCTCGTCAGTTTTGCTTCCCACCACTTGCATCGTGCACAGCGAAAGCAGCGGCAGCAGTGAGGTGAGGGGGTGTCCCTGGAGCTCAGCAGGACAAGGGGCAATGGGTACACATTGAAACACAGCAAGTTCCACCTCCATGTGAAGAAGAACTTTCCTGTGAGGGGGACAGAGCCCTGGCACAGGCTGCCCAGAGAGGCTGTGGAGTCTCCTTCTCTGGAGATCTTCAAACCCACCTGGATGCCACCCTGTGCCCCTGCTCTGGGTGTCCCTGCTGGAGCAGGGGGTTGGACTAGATGGTCTCTAGAGGTCCCTTCCAACCTCAACCATTCTGGGACTCTGCCATCAGTTTGAAACAGAGACCCCGGACAGGCCCCACCTCCCCGATCAGCCAGGGGGTTTGTGACAGCCCCACAAGGAGCCCGCAGGGAAGGACACGAAGCAGCAGCCCCACGAGCAGGCAGCCGAGGGCAGGAAGGTGCCTGACCACCAGTGCAGGGAGTCCACGATGCTGCCATCAGCGGCCAAGAGAGACCTTCGAGCTCTCCTAGAAGATGCAGAAGCAGCAAGGAAATCCCACACGACTCGGTTCCTAACCCTTTGCTGGAGACGCCTCCTCCCCAGGTTTCTGCAGCCCCGGGCACTGCTGCAAGCCAAGGCCACGCTGCAGGGCTGCTGTCCCTCCTCCCTGCCCCGCTCCCTTACCATCGCTGTAGTCCTTGCGGCTTTGGGAGAGGTGGTACTGCCGAGGGAAGGTCCCGCCTTTCCCAAACCTCTCGCAGAACGGGACGTCGAAATCTGACAGGAGGGAAGAAGAGACGCGGTTCTCAGCCCGGCCCAGCACCCAGTGCCCAGAGCGTTTCCTGCAGGGAAGCGTCCTGCTCTCCAGGCCGGACCGCAGGGAAGAACGAGGGAACAAGCTGCTCGTTTGCACAGCAAGGCATTCGCCAAAGCCTGCTCTGAAATCCGCCTGCAGGCACCACTGCTAGTGGAAAAGCAGGGCCAGATGTTCCAGCCTTGGCCCCCCTAAAGCCAGAAGAGGTTTAACCACTGGCCGTGTGGACTCTGGCCCACAGCAAGGCAGGGGGGTAACACAGAGCACGTCTGGTTTCCAGGACTGAGTGCTGAACGTCTCATTTCCACGTGGAAATTCAAAAGTTAGTGAAGAAACTGAAAGACCAGCCAAGGGCAGGCTCAAATCTAATCCAAAATCTCTGCTCAGCAGCTATTTCCAAGGAAATGCAAAAATCCAGTGCTCGGCTGGCCAATCCCTTTCATCCTACTCTAATGCAAATCTTGATCTCTAAAACCTGGAGACTGGTTTAAAGCCCTAGCACCCTGGATGTCTACATTTATTCCATTTAAAGGCCAGAAAGGTAGGTTTGAAACATATAGGAATGATTTGAGGGCATCAGAGTGAGATTACACAGGAGCTCACATACGAGAGAGAGGGATGGATATGTAGGAGATAAATACACATTGCAAAAAAATAACAAATCTAGAAGCACTGGAAGCCATCGCTGGTAGCACCGAACAACTTGAGATTAAAATATCTGTAATTTCCCCCCATCTTCCACCTCCCACTTCCCCTCCATCCAGCTGTAAGGACACAGCCCGTTCCAAGTGCTTGTTTGTCTGTCGCTGCTTCGAGAGCCCTCCTGGTCTCGGCGCGATTCCCCATCACCCCAGAGGAGCCTGGAACACCATCAGCAAGGAAAGCCACAAGGACAGGGCAGGCACTTCAGGGCAAAACGCCTTGCATGACCCCCGGGACGTATGAAAGCTCCAGCAACACGGCCTGACCGCAGCTTCGGCTCGAGAGCTCAATCTAGAAACGCTGCCCCTGGCCAGGAACGTGTTATCATGCTGCAGGCTGGCTGCCATTTATTCATTTTTAATAGCAAAAGTCATTAGAATATTACAGAGTTTCCATGACTTAACCAGCTGGATGTTTATATGTGATTAAGCAGGAACCTATGATCCTTGCGAGTACCAATGCACTTTCCCTGTCAGAATTACTAGGTCTGTCTGTTATTAATGCGAATGGAGGAGGTTAAAATTCCCTGGAGAGGTTTGGGAGCCACATTTTGCAACGCAGGGAGTCAGGGCCCTGACAGTGCCACTCACGGGAACCTTATTAGAAATCAAAGGTGATGCCACGAGGCCCGTCCCTGCTTTTTCAACAGCTTTGTGCACTTGCCTCCAGTCACTTTATCCCGTCACTTTACCAGCTGCACTTTGAAGTGGACACAAACCTCCCCGAGCGCTTACCCAGGCAATCGAGACTGTCCTTGGGATGGCTCTTCCTTCCAGGAACAGGGGTTTGGGTGAAAGGAGGGCTGCAAAGAAGAAGAAAAGAGTCACCCAAAAGGCTGCGGGTTGGAAGTTGCTGCGTGCAGAAAGCACCAAATTTATAGGGATTTCTCGGGATTCCGTCCACTCAGCTGAACTCCCATCCTTCACCCTGCACAAGGCTGAGCACTGTGTTTTGCACATGCTGGACATCTCTGAACCATGCTGAGAGGTGAGAGCCAAATTTCACTCTAGCCTCTCAGAGCCTGAATTTCCCTTTTAATAAAAGGGACGTTGTGGTAGAAATCTGCGTTGTGAAGTGCTCTGAACTCTACTAATGTCACAGCTGATCATGACTGACTTTCTATGGGGAAATTCATTGTGTTATTTCAGCAGTGCCCAGCACCTTCCTCTGCTTGCTTGAGGCTAACGTGACCTCAAGCAGTTGGCGGCAAGGCCCCAGCTGCATCTTTTCAAAAAATACTCATATTTATCCATTTTCCTGCCTTGGAGAAGTCTAGCTCTCTTCCTCATGCCTGCTTTTGTACGTGGATCAGCTATCAGCTGCAGAAATGCCTGGGATTCACTTCTCTGCTCCTAATAAAGCGTTTTAGCCAGGCTGTGCTTCTCCTTGTGTTGTTATTTCTAGCGAAGTCTACGCAAAACTGAAGCTGGGCCGTGAAGGCAGGGAGTGCAGGGAGTGCAGCTCCAGCGCTTCCGTACCCGGGAGCAAACGCATCACAGGAAACTATTCAAACCCACAGAAAGGAAACGGACCTTGAGGCTCGGACGGCCCCACGGAGCGGCAACGCGAAGCCAAACGCAGCCCCGGTGCCGTGCGGTGGAACGAGTGAGGAGGAGAAAAACTGGCTAAAAATGGGCTAAAAATTAACAAGAAAAATAAATGGCTTCCCCAAGCCGCGGGGCCCCCGGCCTGCCTCCCTGCGCTGGCATCTCCTCCTTGGTGAGTGGGACGGAGCTGTTTTGGTCTGGGGTACGGGGCTCTGAATGTGGCACCGCCACCAACTCACCTGTCCACGGACCTGTCCAGTGACTGGCAGCTCCCGGACAGCGAATCCTCAGGGCTGATGAAAGCTTCGAGCATCTGGAGAGGGGAAAAAGAGGGGAAGGGATAAACCCACGGGCTGTAATCCTGCGAGCCGCAGGCCCTGCGGTGCTGAGCTCTCT